CTGCTTCTCATTTCTTTCAAAGGATTAACACTCCTCGAAAACAAGGGGGACTTGGACCGATGAAGATTCCGCTTCTTTCAGATTTGACACACCAAATTTCAAAGGACTATGGTGTATATCTGGAAGATCAAGGGCATACACTTAGGTACTTCACTTGGTTACAGTTAGTTTTGGTCTGCTGGAGTAGTACTTACTACTTTATATCTAAAGAAGCATTTGAAATTTTTCTTTGAGAGCAGTTTTTACTTGGGGATTCATGCTGAGAGCAAAATATGTATTGAAGAACACAAAAAAATAGCCATCATGAGTCAGAACAGGGGTGGAGGTTAATATCCTGTTTAACAGCAGTCAGGGGCAGGGCAAACACACAGAATACCCCAGAAATGCAGTTACTCAGGGACCTCCCAAGTCCAAGCGGAGTCAAGACTAAGGGAAACTAATGGCCTCAAGAGATACATCTGTCATAAACTTGATTAGTTGCTTTTGGGATGCCTGTAATGTCATAGCACCTGCAACATCCCCTGGCAGGGCCTGCCAAAGCTTAGTTTTATGTTCTGCAAAGAACTATCCTTTTTTGGTTTTAACTTGCCGTCAGCTCATGTCATCTGATACTCTAGGCTAGTAGTATTCTAAGGGTGGGTATTGCATGGTGTTTGCAGAGATCAACTTCTTCCCATCCAACAGGCATAAAATAGCGTGTAAACACAACACTCTTAATTCGTTGTTTCCTAACACACAAAAAAATTGTTTTCACAGAGGCCTTTTCATTATTGATGATAAGAGAATCCTTCGGCAGATCACAATGAATGACCTTCCTGTTGGGAGATCAGTGGATGAAACGCTTCGTTTAGTACAAGCATTCCAATATACAGACAAACATGGAGAAGGTGCTCTTTAAAATACTTTCATGTTAAAGATTGTTTTACTTAGACTGGAAGCCGTATTTGTAGCTTTTTGGAGGAAAGATACTCAGTGGCATTAGAGACTAGCCTCGGAGTGAAGTGATGTGATTGCCCTGCTGCAACATTCTGTGGTCCTGGTACCTCCATAGGTTGTTTCTAGTGTAGTGATTCACGTTTTGCTTTACATCCATGAGAATGCAGAGCATAAAGCGTTCCTTAGTCTGAATTAAGGCATTATGTACCATCTGTCACAAGCATAAATCTGTACGAAATACGAGGTCACGAATAATGAGGCCAAATATTTCAGTACATCTCGATATATTAAAATAATTGAGATGCAAGCCATCCTTGTCCCCTGTCATTCACTGAGGATCTGTGACAAGTACTTGAGAGTGCTTCATGTCTAGATACATGGTGATACCATGAAAGTTCAACCGCCATTACGTGTGTTTTCTTTACAAGTGCCATGTGACCACCTTCCCCTGACAAACCAGCTTTCAGTGGCTTCAGATCATTACTTTGTCTCAAGGATTCATATCCCCCCGCTTCAAGTATAGGACAAACTTTTCACATTTCTTTAACTAATGTGTTTAAACAAACACATTCATTTTTTTAATATTTGTTTAAGTATTAATACACATGTTCAGCAGCTTAACTTCCATTTCAACTCAATTTCACCTGGCATTTGAAAGTACTTTTACCTGAAGGTACAAATAATTATTATGCCTTGCTGAACACTTAGTCTATTTTAAAAGATAAATGCTGATGCTTAGGCTATGCACATTTGACCAAGGAAATTCAACCTCTCGTATTTAGTTACAAAGCTGTCTTACAGAATATTCACCTGCAGTGTGTTTCCAGAGTACCACATTTTTTTCCAGCCATACATGGAATCTCACCAGCTTTTGCATGAATTGCTGAGGAGAGCCTCCCTAGATGCCTTTTTGGATTCTTTGCACAGAACAGGAAAAAATATCCTCCACGATTCCTAATTGCTTTTGTGGTATTTTGTCTGACAGCATGCCTTAAAGCAGTGTAATATGGCATAACTCATTGGGATGAAGCCTCAGAGGGAGAGCTCTGAACAGATAAGAGCTTCACTCCAGAATGTGCAATGGTTACAGGTGGTCACAGGGCGCTCAGTCACACTGCATGCTAACCACATGCTGTAATCCCTGTAATCCCTTTAATCCTGAGCAAGGCTTCAAATAAAATCTTTCAGTCCCTTGTGGAATCTGAACTGATTTATTTGCTAAAAACGTTCCCCTAGTATTGGTTTTAAAGGAAGAAAGGTATGTGTAGTCACCTGAATTTTATTATTAAACCTTTGTTTCTACTAGAATAAGTGTTCATTCTCAGATACTGCTTTGCCAGTACTTTATCTAGAAGGGCACAAGAATTAAACCAAGGCATGGACATCCATCCAGAGATACACAGTTTCCAGTTAACAGAAGTGGTAGGTGGTATCAGGTATAAACTATTGTGACACCATCCCATATATAAAGAAAAGTGCGTATTTAATAGTTGCAGATACTTACATGTGACACTTGCGTGCTGTTCAAGTTGAGAAAGAATATTAAGTGCACAAAAGTAAGTGTGTGTAAAAATACTTTTACTCACTTTGTCCTTTTTTTTGCAGTTTGCCCTGCTGGTTGGAAACCTGGCAGTGAAACAGTAAGTCACTGTTTATATTCAAATGCATGTACTACTAAAAACCACTCCACTATCATTTCCACTAAAGTCAAATCTAAAATCTTTGCAATTTTCAATGAGATGATACGAGTAAACATTATAGTTTGAGCTTTTGGATGACTACTGATTTCATTAGGAGCTGATTTCCCTCACACTAGACATATTCCAGTTGTTTCAAATTCCCCGTGTACGAACAAAACTCTCTTGAGCAGCAATGAGTTCATGATCAAGAACTTTTTTTCCTGTTAACACCTGATGAGAGGAAGTTGGAAACTTTTGAGTCTGTCCTTTCTTGTTTATTTGTCCATATAAATTCTTGGTTCTGTCGAGTCTTACTGGGGATCCTAGGCACTACCCAAAGTTCCCAGGCTGCTGTAGTACCTGACAGAGACAGTGTGCCACTATCAGAACTCCAGCAGAGAGCACTGCTTTGCTGCCTAATAGCTTTTCCCCCTTTGTCACTGCTCACCTACATGTGACTCCAAGCACAAGAGCTAGGGTGCAGATAAACACCCCTTGAACTCATTTGTGTTCTCGGGGCTTGGATCAAGCCTCAGCAGAATAATGAAACTTTTACTAGAGGCCTGAGCTGCCTAGTTCAGATGAGATCACTATCATTTATTTGAACGTGGCTTTCTTCTGAACCATCTGGTGATGACAGAGCATTGTTGTTGAAGAGCCATCTCAACAAAGAGCAGGTCCCAGCAGCCTCTAAGCAGAGTAATGACCACTGTAATTGATAATAAAAACAGTGGAATGTTAAACTGTGTTTCTTTGCTGGATGTGAAAACTTCCTAGGATGACTTGAAGCTAGGAGTCACCTCTTTCAGGCTAGCAGAAGAGTGTCTTAGTGGAGGAAGCTGGATATTAAGACTATAAAATGAAAGAGGGCTGGCTGGCCTAACAGATGTATTTTAGCACTGAAAAGTTCTGCCCTCCCGTCGTGGGTTAGGCTGACCCTCCCACACAGC